TTTTCTACCTCTTATTAACAAAAGAATTAAAATTGTATGCTGGCTGCTGAGTTAGAACATTTTATATATATATACATACATTTATGCTTTTTACTTTCTTTAAATATGTAGAAAAAGTTTGATCATGAATAAAGTTATTTCTTTGCTGGACACGAGTTCCTCGGGGGTCAGCTAGAGAAGTTAGAATTTTCCAACCTGGCTGACCACAGAACCCTTCCGAGGCAAGTCTGTGAGCCGCCCCCTTTTGAGATGCCCAGGGTAAAGGATGCAGTGGCGGTGCTAATTCTGACCTCTGCAGTCAACACTTTTATTCTAGCTTTCCACAGAAAATTGCTTCACTTTTCAAGTGGTTCTCTTTTTGGTGCATTTCAGTAGAAGATCTTGAATTCCATCATTAATGTAGAACTGTGAAAATAACTGACCCAAAGTGCGGACACTTGCATCCCGCCATGCTTTGGGTTCAGGTGACGGTATGTGTTGTGTCTGGGGAAACCTCTCTGTTAGGCACACTAGGACTCAGAGGCCGTGGCCCTCTTGTTCCTTTGGTGACTCTGTGTTCCGTCTCTCCATTAGGATGCTCCCAGCACAGATAATCGAGTATTACAACCCATCAGGACCACCTCCTCCCCCGCCACCCCCCGTGATTCCTTCTGCACAAACTGCCTTCGTCAGCCCTCTCCAGATCCCCATGCAGCCCTCCTTCCCCGCCTCAGCCGGCACCACCTACACGGCGCCGCCTCACCCTCCCTCCGGGCTCCTGGCCGCAGCCCCGCCTCCCCCAGGCCCACCACCTCCCCCGCCGGGACCGCCTGGCCCGGGGTCTTCTCTGTCGTCCTCCCCAATGCATGGCCCCCCAGCGGCTGAGGCCAAGCGGCAGGAGCCTGCACAGCCGCCAATTAGCGATGCCCGGAGCGATCTCCTTGCTGCTATTCGGATGGGTAAGTGGAGCACCCCGGCTACACAGCCTTGCTCTGGGGAAGAGAGTTCTTCACGTCTCCAATTAGGTACAGCCGTGTTGTCTTCGAGCTACTACTCTCCGTGTTAAATTATTCTTTAGAATTAAAGGGGTCTTGTTTGATTTTTTTTTTAATAATGTGTTTTTAAGGTAAACGCATTATAAAGAACCGAGAATTCGGGGAAGCTATATGTCACTAGAAATCAGAAATCAGATAACAGAAATGATCGATTAATTAATTGGATCTCTTCTCTGCATTCTACTCTAAGGGTAAAAGTATAAAACAAAGAAAATGATGTTAGTTTTTTAAAAACATTGTGCAGTACGTCCTGGACTTGTCATCGTCCTAGCTTGATGTGCTAAGCCAGTGGTTTTTTTTGGCATTTATTTAACAGCATAACCCTTTTGTCAGATAAAAGTCCTACACTGACCCCCGGACCACAAAACGTGTAGCAGCAGAGAATCTCGGGTCCAATCGGTGGGGGGCCCGGACCCCCTCCCATCTTGGTCTGCCCTCAGACCCCGCCGTGAAAACCTCCAGCCCATACCAGTCATTCTTAACCAGGCCACAGCCCAGGGTGGTTGAGGGTCACCAACAGTGATCTGGGACTATTCCAGGAGTTTCTTGCATGGTGGGGAACCGCACATACTCTTGATCACAGGTAGTCGTCTCATCAGGAAGTGACTGCAGATGGCTCCTTGGCAGCCGGGAGTCAGTGTTGGTGACATCCTCAGAGGGTGCTGTGATGTTGCTGCCTCTGTGTTTTGCTTGAGCACCCACGAATCAGGCCCAAGGTGTGGCACACACGCCCTCCTGAAGACCTCAGGGTCTTTTGTGTATCTTGAACGTCACTGACACTTTTATTTTGTCAAGGAAAAAAGTCCCAGAGGTACAGTAGCTCGCGGGTATCAAATTCGGGGTCATAGTAGTAGGACAGTGTTGGATTTGGTTTTTTTTATACATGTAAGTCCCGCCGAGTAAGAGTTGGTGTATAACCTGGATCTAATCACAAGGAGATACCCGAGACACCCAAATCGGGGGGCATTCTGCAGAACAGCTGCCTGTGTTTTTCAAAAATGGGAGATTGTGACACACGAAGACTGGAGAACTGTCCAGATTAAAGGACATTAACAAAACATGACAACTAATGTAACAGGTGATCCCACATTGGATCCTGAACTGGGGAACGATTTTTCCATTTGCAGTTAGGTTGGGTCTCTTGGCAAAATTTGAATAATATTTGTAGGATAAATAGTGTTA